AGCAGAGATTAGAAATAAACCGGATTTTAACAATGCAAGAGTAAATAGATGGGCGGAAAAGATACAGGAGTTTGGTTTCGAGATTGGCTATATGAGGCCGGAAGAACTGATTGTTGCTGATTGTTTAAGTAGAATTTATACGACAGAGGCCGCAGAAAAGAAAAAGAAGATGATAAACGCTAAGAAGGAGATACAAATAGGGGGAAAACGAAACAAACATGTTAAAGAAGTGAACGGAAAAAAAGATTTGGTTATTTGATAATGGAAGAGAAGATGAGATGCCTCCGGGTGAGGAGAGAGAAAAATTAATATATGATTTCATGTGAACTTGAGCCACAGATGTAGAACAACGGTATATTACTAGCTTAGAAAAAGATACTATTGGCCGGGAATTGAGGATCAAGTTTATGAAGTTATTAAAAGACGTGAAACTTGTCAAAAATACAATAGAAAGACGAGTGGAGGTGGTGAATTTATAAGTACTACGAGATATTTAGAAAAACTTGGCATGGATATGATTGAGTTTAGAGATGAAAAGAAAGTGATAGTTGTTGCGGTGGATTATTTCACGAGAAGGCTGTGGGGGTAAAGTATTGGATAATAAACAAGCTGCCGGAATAGCTTGAATTTTAAGAGAATTATGCACGTAAGGAAAGAAACCAGAGGAGATTGTAACTGACAACGGACGAGAATTTTGTAGTGTAGAGATGAGAGAACTATGCAGACAACTAAATATAAATCACCAAAAGTAGGCATAGAGTCACATAAGAACAATGGAAGGATATAAAAAATTATAAGAACGTTAAGAGAAGATATTTAAAGAGTAAAAAAGATTTATTTGCTGAGAAAGTTTATGAAGCCATTGAAAAATATAATTGTAGTTACCACGTAGGTATTAAATGTACCCCAATCGAGGCAGTTAAAGATAAAACGGGAACTGTTATGATAGGGAATAGCCCGGAAGGAAGTTATGCAAGTAGATTTAAGAAATGGTATAGAGAGAAATTTGTAAAGAATCAAAAAATAAGAGTAGAAAAGAATGAGAATCTTAAAGGATGCGATAAATATAGCCGAGGAAAATTTTTAGACCTAGAGGTTATAGTAGAAGCGAGTCTAAAGGATTCATATGTTGTCAGATTAGATAATGGAAGATACGTAAAGAAGAGACACTATGATTTAAAGGGATTGGGTAAGAAAAAACTGTTGAAAGTATGAGACCAACCTTCTGGAGAGGGGTGTTATAATTTATTATTTTATTAAACCCCAATTATGTTAAGCACTAATATAGTCTATACAATTAAGTTCTAAACGTCTTCTTATCGTTGTTTTGGACGTTTCGTTTTCTCCATCGCCACCCATTAAAAAAAAGCTTATTCTTTCTTTTTTTATGCGTTACGTTTTCGATAGGCATCCTAAAAATGTTGTGACCACAGTTTTTCAATTTGGTTCGTATGTGCTTCCTGAGCATTAACAAACCCATTCGAGTGGTTTACCAACTCATGGCAAGATCCAAATTTAACAACGGCCCCGGGGTAAGATGGATAACTATCAATAACAATGATAGATCTGGACATAACATGTTCTTCGATCACGTCTAGTATGGTCGGAACTTTTCTTTTAGGAACAAGTTTTAGAACAAAATTCTTACAATTTCCTTCTTCTACACCCCCTACTAACCATTGTACATTAGGTTGTTGTCTAGGGGCCAGATGGGTCAGATATTAACTCTTGATTACAGATAGCAGTTTCGCTAAACTGCACCTTAATACCTTCTCCACCTATTTTAACCATTTCTGGCTCTTGTTCAGAAATTACTTACAAAATCAGGTCCTTGATTTTAATGTAAGTGTTCTCAGAACAATTGCAGAAATCAATTGCCTGCACTAGGGTATAATCATATACCCAGCAATACATTCCCCCCAAGAATTTTTACAAATTCTATATTCGGGTACCCATTTTAGACCCCTTCTTAAAGCTTTCCCTTGATCTGCATGCCTTAGAAGAGCATCTGTAAGCATATCCGTCTATATACATTGCAGCCACCATAATCCTCATTCTTCCATCACATTTAACACAAGGGATTTCTGTTTTGATTAAATTGTATTTTAAAAATAATTCTAAAGTCTTAGAATTCTCAAGTAATATAACATCGTTGAATTTAAAATTAAGAATTTTCTCTTCTAGATTTTTCATAATAGGGGTTAAAAATAATTCTTTTTTTACCTTTACTTCATCTTTCCTCCCTTTTATGAATAACTACGTTCACTTTAAAAAATTCTGTACGTAGTTATTTCAAAGGGGGGTAGAAAGATGAAGTAGCGCCGACATTTTTTACATTAGATTATAGACGGCGCCCCATTCCAAAACCTATACTTAAACTTAAATATTCTTATACAGGAATCTAACCCGCAGATGCTTTTACATGTGCCAAGATAAATCCAACTGCGATACTTGTCACGCATGTCTTATTAAAATTTTAAATTAATAATTTTACAAGTGGGGATTTGTTGAATAAAGGTAGGCTGCAAAATATTTTGAATTCCGCAATATATTTGAGAACAAAAAAGTTGAATTTTTTTAAAATTTTTTATTTTTAGCCGTTAATGGTATCAGTTATAAATGATAAGGAGGAATATGATGCAATAATGGCCATCCTTTTAAAGCTGCCGTTAAAGAGGAATTTAAGTAGATACCAAGTATTTAGGCTTCGCAAGAAGGCGGAACACTTTCTTGTACTTAATGACATGCTCTACTTAAATGATAGAGAAGGACTGCACAAAAAAGTGTTCTACAAGACCCAGATCGATATCATGGCATTAGAGATTAAAAGACTTCACAATACCAACCATTACGGCCATAATAGGATGTATGAATTATGTAAGGACTATTTCTTTACCACACCCAGAACTATTGTGAGAGATATTATTGAAATCTGTAATGCTTGTAAAACATCACGGCCTTTAAAGTAGAAAGAGCCATTTAAGCATTTTAAGGCCACCCACTGCTTTGAGCACATTATGATAGACTTAATCGAGCTTAAGAGTTATTAAACAACAAATCTGGGTTTTTGTTGGATACTTAATGTGATTGATGTTTATTCAAAATTTTAAAAGGCTTATCCACTCAATTCTAAAGCAGCTTTGGAAGTTAGCAATGCATTAGAATCACTTTTTTTGGTTTTTGGGAAACTAAACTGTTTTACAATGTGACGATAGAAAGGAATTTTCTAATTCTGTGATTAACGATCTTTGTACTCGGTTTAACGTAAAGTTGATTCATGGCAGAGTTAGACATCTTCAATCACAAAATCAAATTGAACGTTTTAATCAAACATTAACGAGAGCTATATCTAAACAAATGGATGCCAAAGATGAAAACGTAAAGGAAGCATGTTGGAAAAAATATATCGATCTTGTTGTATACAAATATAACATTGCTGTCCATTCTGCCACTTGTAAGTCGTCATTCAAACTATATTACGGGCGCAAAGGGTTTAATATAGTCCTTAGTGCTGAAAATGATGGTGTTATATTTTCTGATTTAGAAACAGATTCATGCAAAGAAAAAAAAATAATAAAGAAGTTGTAAGTGAAGTTGAAGTAGTTATATGTGCTAAGTATCTTGCAAGAATGGATAAATAAGCGGTTTATAATTCTGTGTATAACTTTAATGTAGGTGAATATGTTTTTCTAAAAAAAGACTTTGATGCTAACCAAGTAAACAAACGTATAAAATTTGACCCATTTTTTCATCCTGCAGCTATAATAAAAATTCTCTGAGAATCAACAACTAATTTAATTGATCATGGTGATAGAACCGAGATAGTATCTATGGCCAACGTAATAATAAAACAATTAAATGCAGTTTATTTTTGTACTTAAAAAATGTTATAATTTATATAATTCCTTACTTTGTTTTTAAAAAAATTATTTTATGTTGTCTGGATACAAAATTTAATGATAGAAATATCGCAATACAAATATTTTAAACTTTGGATACAGCAATACCTACATAAACCCGTTAAAGGTATTTTTATCTTATTTTACAACTTAACTTTTTGTAAGCCTAGTAAATTGCAGCGTTTAAAATATCTCATTTTTGATATAAAAAGATTCTGCCGGGAATCGAACTATGTGCGGCTGTGGCTCGGGTGCGAGCTGGGCTCGCGACATTATTTAAACAAAAAGTTCGGTCATTTCAACATTATTTAAACCAGTTGATACCTCTAAAAGCAATTCATATTTTCTAACAAACCTTTCTAAATTTGAAAACATAACACCCCTCTACATTTAATTTCTCCCTTAACACCTAACCAAAAACTTTCAATGGAATTTGTGTGATTTCCATAATCTTCACAAATCCTTGATTATGATTTACGCAAAGATGATGACAAGAATTTACAGTTGCTGAAGCGGAATATGATGGGCAGCCATCGCCTTTACAATGGTTCTCGGCTTTATTGTCCGTCTTATAAACGGAATAATGGTGGGTATTGTTCTATCGGGCAATACTTCGAGCCTTTACTTTTTAGTAGTCTCACAATAAACGCCGATGTCCCTTTTCGTATCGCTAATTTAAGCTTTTGCATTTGTCAAGTTGTATATAAGGCGACGCCTACAGCGTGCCGATTTGCTTATTTGTACAGAACATCCCTCTCCTCTAAACTTTTTGGATGTATCTACGAGACGTTTAAGACTTTCTACGATGCGAGACCTTAACGATATATAAGTCGGCCCGCTTTACAGATATCAGGGAAGTTATTTGCCAATTTATAAGTTTATGTAAATATAAGTAAGTCAAATGAAGGAATCTGGAATTTTTTTTGGGTAAATCGTCTCCCGTGTATTTGATGGTGGCTATGTTGACCTTGCAAGAATTGCAAGTATACCTATACCCCCCCCCCCAAAAAAAAAAAAAAAAT